TGCAGTGGCAGAATCAGAGCTCACTGTAGCCCCAAACTCCTGGGCTCAAGCAATCCTCCCACCTCAGCCTCCCAAGTAGCTGAGACTATAGGCACACACCACCATGCCTGGACAATTTTTATTTTTGTAGAGACAGGGGTCTTGCTATATTTCCCAGGCTAGTCTCAAACTCCTAGATTCAAGTGATCCTCCTGCCTCAAACTCCCAAGGTGCTGGGATTATAGGAGCAAGCCAATGCTTCCTTATCTTTTAAGAAACCTTGTCAGGATTTATCTCTTTTCAAAGAAAAAAATTTATCTTCTGGATCTTTTTAAGATGTAAGTTACTTTCTGAAAGTAAAAGAACATATAAAATATACGTAAGTTTAAAATACAATAAAATGAAAAACCGTACCCACCAACCAGTTTAAGACTAAAATGTCTGCAGTATGTTCGGCCCATGTGTTTCTTTTGCCCTGTGTTTCTCTCCTTCTCCCTGAGCACCACTCCCTTCACTCAGCCAATACCCTGGACTGCTTTTCAATTCCTTGCTCTTATTTTATCAACTGTGTATATAACCTCAGACAACACATTATTTAGTTTTTGAGTTGTATACAATGGAATCATGCAGAACATATTCATCTACATCTTCTTTTAGTCAACTTTGTTTTTGTCGAAGTGTGAAACTACTATATTCACTTTTACTGCTGAACAACACTCCACTGTATCTGTTTCTATTTCATTTCTATTAGCTTTTTTTACTTCCTTCTATTGTCTGAGTTTTGTTCCTCCCTTCTTTAATTACTTAACTTGAACACTTAGTTCATTTTCTTTTCTAATGGATGCATTTAAGGTCATAAAATTTCCCAGAGCTAGCTGCTTTAGCTGTATCCCATAAGTTTTACTATATCCTGTTTTTACTAAGTTCTAAATATTTCAGGATTTCCACAGGAATTGTTACTCATAAACTGAGAAATTCAGTTTCAAAACCATGAGGATTAGGCTTATTGTTACCAATTTCTACTTTTATTGTACCTTAATAGGAGAATATTGTCTACAATTATTAGGTTGGTGCAAAAGTAATTGCAGTTTTAGCATTGTCGAAATTTGCCATTTGATATTGGAATACATTCTTAAATAAATGTGGTGATACATATTTTAACACCCATTTCTCGCTTTATGCCTTTTTGCTAATGATTATCTGCTGTTTATTTTGTATTTATTTTAGACTATGGAAATGATGTTAGACAAAAAGCGAATTTGAGCAATTTTCTTATTCGAGTTCAAAATGGGTCGTCAACTTGTAACATCAACAATGCATCTGGCCCAGGAACTGCTAACAAATGTACAGTGCAGTGGTGGTTCAAGAAGTTTTGCAAAGGAGACGAGAGCCTTGAAGATGAGCAGCGCAGTGGCTGGCCATCAGAAGTTGACAAGGACCGACTGAGAGCAATCGTTGAAGCTGATTCTCTTACGATTACACAAGAAGTTGCTGAAGAATTCAACATCAACCATGCTATGGATTTTGGCATTTGAAGCAAATTGGAAAGGTGAAAGAGCTCGATAAGTGGGTGCCTCATGAGTTGACCAAAAATCAAAAAAATCGAAGCGTCATCTTCTCTTACTGTACACAATGACGACGAACCATTCCTCAATCAAATTGTGACATGCAATGAAAAGTGGATTTTATATGACAACCTGCAATGACCAGCTCAGTGGTTGGACTGAGAAGAAGCTCCAAAGCACTTCCAAAAACCAACGTTGCACCAAAAGGAGGTCATGGTCACTGTTTGGTGGTTTACTGCTGGTATGATCCACTACAGCTTTCTGAATTCCGGCGAAACCATTACATTTGAGAAGTACGCTCGGCAAATCAATGAGACACACCAAAAACTGCAATGCCTGCAGCCAGCATTGGTCAACAGAAAGGGCCCAGTTCTTCTCCAGGAAAACGCCCAACCTCACATCACACAACCAATGCTTCAAAGGTTGAACGAATTGGGCTATGAATATGAAGTTTTGCCTCATCTGCCATATTCACCTGACCTCTCACCAACCAACTACCACTTCTTCAACCATCTCAACAACTTTTTGCAGGGAAAACATTTCCACAATCAGGATGCAGAAAATGCTTTCCAAGAGCTCGACGAATTCTGAAGCTCAGATTTTGACACTATGGGAATAAACAAACATTTCTTGTTGGCAAAAAAAATGTGTTGATTGTAATGGCACCTATTTTGATTAATAAAGACGTGTTTGAGCCTAGTTATGATGATTTAAAATTCACGGTCCAAAACTGCAATTACTTTTGCACAACCTTAATAGACTGTGTTTTGGTATATTTTGGGACTTCCCTTTTAGCTTTGATAGTTGAATTGTTTGTATTTTCCATAGATGCTGGAAAACTGTGTGATTTATAATTTTAGGTTATATGATTGCAAACAGAAATATTAAACTTAGTAACTGACAGTAAAATCTTCTATACTCTTACTAGTTTCTAGTCTGTTCAGTCTAACAGATTCTGAAGGGAAAAGGGTTAAAACTTACTAAGATTTACAAATATTTCCTTAAAATTATGTGTATTTTTCTTTATGTATCTTAATATGTTGTTAGATTCAAACCATGTTCAGAACTGTAATGTCTTCCTGATGAATTAAGTAATTATTTCTTTATCCCTAATATGTCTACCTTAGAATATATTTTGCCTATTTCTATACCAAGTTTCTTTGGGTTAATATTGAAGTAATATTTTTTTATTTTCAACTCTGTACTGAATATATTTAAATATATTATGATTACTGATACATGGATTTTTACTTCTACCATTTTGTGTTCTCTCTTTACTGAGTTTCTCCAATGCTTTCTGCTTTCTATTCTGTCCATTAGTTTTCCCCAAATGGTAAGCTACATATTTTATTTTTAATCAATTTCTCCATGAATATTTAGAAAATATTTAAATGATTTTCAATTTAGTCTCCTTTCTACAAAGCTCCTTCTATTGGATTTCCTTCATTAGAGTAAGTTATACATTTTATCTTTTCTCTGATTACCCTTCAATTTCACCTATTTAAGAAATGTTAGTTTCAATCTATTCTCTTTCAGTCTATTCTAAGCCGGTAAAGAATTTGTGTCTTTCCATTTGCTAGTATTTTAGTTCTTTTATGTTTCTAAAACCCCTAAATTAATAGTTATTGCTAGTTTATACAGTCAATACTTATTTTAAGTTTACCAATGTTTACATATTTTACATTTTTTAATCTTTTTGGGAAAGGGGGCCTCATCATCATTGCTTCTTGCTTCCTACCCTCTTTCTTTCTGCATTCAGTTGTCTTCTTACTACTGTATGTGTTAGTAGTTCTTCTTCAACAGCCTAAGAATATGAAACATTTTTATATGAATGGTATTATATCTCCCTGGAACCTAATTATCTGAATATAGCAGTTTGGGTTTAGAGCTGTTCTCACTCAGCATTCTGAATCTACTATTCTACTATATTCTGAAATCTACTTTTACTGAGGAAAAATTCTGTTGTGAATATATTGTTCTTCTACAGGTGAATTTATCTTTTTTCATATGATAGTTTCAAATTTTTTTTATCTTTGTAATATTATAATTTCAATAAACACATAAGGGTGTGAATTAGTTTTTTTTTAATTTGCTCAGGACTCCTATACCTAACTCTAGAAAAGTCTTATCTATGATGTCTCTGAATAGTCTTCTTTCCTCTTCTTCCCATTCCCCCATTTTCTCTATTAGCTACTCAGCAGACATTTAGACTTACATGTTGGACTACCAAGTCTTATTCTATCTTCTGTATCTGTTAACTGCTTTCATGCTTTCAACTTCCAAACTTAGGGAATTTCTTCAGATCTATCTTTAGATTAATTTACTCTATTCATCTATGTTCAACCCATCCCTTACATTTTTCATTTTAATCACTACTCTTTTCTATAAGTTCAAATTGGTCTGTTTTCAAATCTATAGCCAAAAAAATCCCCAAATTTGATGAAAAATATTAATCTCTTCATCCAAGAAGCTCAACTCCAATGAGGATAAACCCAAAGAAATCTATACCTAGACACATTAATATAAAACAAATAGTGCTGTCGAAAACTGGATATCCATATGCAAAATAGTTAAGTTGGACCCCTACCTCACACAATATACAAAAACAAAGGAGATCAAGACTTAAACATAAGAACTAAAACCACA